TTAAAAAAAAAAACATTTTAGTATTTATTATTTAAATAGTACGTTGCAGAAGCCAAGCGCTCGCCCTATTCAATGACATCAATTAGTAGGATTGGATTACATAACCATCATGGCTTCCCGAGATTCGCGGTAATATAACGGACTGTATAATGTCTTCTATCAGAGAACAGAAGACGTCCCGGCGTTGTTTCCGTCGATACAGCGTTTGGGAAAAGTTAAATTCCTTCCACTAGAAATATCCTTTACTGTCGACTTTTACCTTCATAAAATCATTTTGACAAATGCCAATTTTTATCTAAAAGCTTGCTTAAAAAAATCCTGAAATGAGTGTGTTTTGGTCTTAAAAGTCTGTAAGATCAATGAGTTGACGGACGGGTTTGACCTCCGGTTCTTCAGCGAAAGGTATCCTTTACTTGAGACCTATTTTTATATTGATTCGCGTATATTTTTGCCGCTATAATATTGGAAATTTTAACCAGAGTAGCTTGAAATATCGGTCGAAAGATGAAAAGAGTCTGGGTACGAGATTGGTAATCATATTAATTACGCACGGAATAGGAAGACATGTAGTGTAATCTAGCAATATAGAGCTGTCTTGTCTTGAGACAAGACTTTGGCCTTCGTAATCCACCGWAATTAGTCACTCATTAAAATGAGACAAACCTGAACGAAATCGGCCCCAACTTTGTCAGATCAGTGTTGTTGAACTTCGTTTATGACTTATTACCACAAAAAAAAATTGATTTAAGATAAATACATAGCTGCATTCTTTATTCTCTCTAACAAGTTTACACCAATAATGCCCTTGGGCTTCCTGCGTTAAAATAACAGCAGGCACAGACAGGACTACTCGAAAAGTAAAATAAATCACAGCAGGTTAATCCAGTAAAACAAAACAAAGAAGCGTTCACAAAATGGAGAGTGGACAAACAATTAAAAATACAAGCTATTGTATCGGTATAAAATCAAAATCATTTCTTAGAAGAATTTTCATGCTTTTAATATTAGACACTATCACTGAAAAGATCGTCATATTTTTAATCCTAAATGCGCCCCAGAACTAAACAAAAACACCTCAGTATCGCAATTACTTTTCTTGCAATTTCCATTCATAGAATTAAATAAAAACCGACTTTCAATGCACAATTTGAGCTGAACTGTCATCGTTGCCATAGTGAATCAGTGTTAGTTGACACTATCATGTCTCGTGATAGTTCGACCTTGTATTGTGCAATAGCGTAAGTTAACCATTCATTGTACAAAATTAGCAAGTCATTTCATTCGATTTGTGTCACTGCTGTTGTACTTTTCTATTACAACTGGTAACTACCCATAACCAATCGAATGTTACACAGTTTTGATAGATAAGACACAAAATATATTTTTCTTTCAGAATCGTAATGGCAGCACTTTCGAGCTTCACTAATGACTTGGAAACGCAGTTAACTTGTATAGTCTGCAACGAAATCTTTACTGATCCAAGAACATTACCCTGTTTACATACTTTCTGCTTCAACTGCATCAAAATYTGGGACGAAACCTGCCAAAGAGAAAGAAAGAAACTAAAATGCCCAACTTGTAGAGCGGCTGTCAAAGTCGAACAAGGTGACATCTCGAAGCTTCCTTCCTCTTTTACCTACAGCTCGTTGATTCAGCTGTTCGCCACTGAAATTTAAGGCTGCCGAGCAAACTCATCAACAGCAGCTTCCAGAGTGTGCGAATTGCTCAAATCGCAGTGTGTTGGTTGGATTTTGTCCTCAATGCGAAGGAATGATTTGTAACGATTGCATCAGCCATCACAAGACAATGAACACATTAAAAAGAACCCATCAAGCAACACTTTTCAGCGACTTCAAGAAACAGAATGTAAATTGCTACATCAACAATCAAGCGTTTTGCAATGAAAGATTCCACAACAGAGCCCACCTTGAGTATTTCTGTAAAACTTGCAAGAAGTGCATTTGTCAGAAATGTGGCACAACAACACACAACATTCATGACAAGATCAGCATCGARGAAGCTGCAGAKGAAGCTAAAATACTTATTAGAAAGGAAAAGGATCGATTAAATGAACTGCTTCTGGAAAATATGAAAGAATTAGAACTGTCTGATGAAAATATGAGAAGAATTCAACACGAAGCTGACACGGCAAAGACAAAAGTTCGTAATAAAACACGAGCTTTGATGAAGATTTTACATGATCACGAGGACTCTTCGATTGCTACCATAGACAAAATCCTTTCGGAACAAATAGCAGCAAAYGAAGAAGARAAAGGCGAGATTAATTCAAGCATCCAACAGGCATCTCAACTGAAACTTCAGTGTGAAAGAATTGACGATGAATTAAACTTWGAACACTTTATATTGGAAGGCTATGAAAATTTGAGAAACATTTGTAAAATTACAGTAAAAAACAAATCCATCTTATCGAGCAAATCAGTCAAGCGAAACTCAGGCATAAATTACAWTCCAAACCCGGAAGTCAYCACTCAGATGCAAAAGTTCAAGCTCGGTGAGGTGGTGGAAAGCGTGACAGACCCGTCACGTTGTTCTATCGAATCTATAAATAACGTYAGRTGTGGTTTTATCAACGAGTTTAAAATTGTGACAAGAAATTCAGAAGGGAATGTMTGCTATACCAATAAAGGCTCAATTGATGTACAAATMCAAGATGTTGACGGCGACGATGTACAGAAAGAACTGACCGARACTGAAACTGGCAGATTCWYAGTRAAATATAGAGCAGAGAAACCTTCACCGTACAAAGTTGTAGTGAGTATTGGAGGAGAAGAGATCAGCAACTCACCACAGAACATTGAGACAATTGATGCTAAWGCAGAGTTWARACCYTTGAGATYAATTGGTGTTAAAAAGATGTCCAGTCCTTTTTCACTTGCTGTAAGTGAGAGAGGAGACATAGCTGTGGTTAATAACGATTTGAAATCCGATTTCCGTGTTTTGCTGTTCAGTGCTGATGGAGAGTACCTTCGAGAGATTGGTGGAGACGGTCAACTAAGTAACCGGCTTTGCAGAGCGGTCTTCAATGAAAACCACATATTTGTTAGCGATAATCCCGATGATGGTGGCTGTATAAAGGAATTTGACTTCAATGGTACTTACAAAAGAACTCTTTGTAAACTGCCGAAAGGAATGATGGTCACAGGAATGAGTATAGATAATCAAATCATTTTGTGTGCAATCTTTAATCTATACACTAAGGAGACATTTATAAAAGCATTTGCTAGCACAAATGGCAATCATCTTCATGAGATCAAACTTGATGTGCCTGATGATGGTCAAGARGGGCCCTTCTCTTTAGTTTTCCAAGACCATAAGTACTTTGTGGCGTTTGCAGACACGGACAATTTTTATKGTTTTGACGAAAATGGTAGCCTGTTGTACAAGATGCGAGTGAAAGAGAATAAAGAAAGTCAATTTCGCGGTGTATTTGGACTTGCCATGTTTGGYAAAGAAATGCTTCTTGCCTGTGATCCCGTTAACAACTGCGTACAAGTATTTAATCAAGACGGTCAGTTTATAAGCTCCTTTGGTAGCWATGGTTCAGGTCTTGGCCATTTGAAKGTTCCTGTGGACGTTGCCGTTGCTCCAGATGGCCGAGTATTTGTACTTGAACATTATGGTAAGCGAGTACAGGTTTGGAGATGAAATTGAAACCAAGACTGCAAACTTTTCATTAGGTAACTACTAACSTATCTGCAAGTTAGAATTAAATGGGCTTTTGATTTCGTAAAATACAAAACAAAACAATCTTTTTCAAGGTTGTACATTTGTTTCTTTTACAAACGTTTAACTTTTAATTACGGACGCAGAAGAATAGGGCTAGAAACAATAGAATGAAAGGATGTAGCGTGATTTCGATAGGAGTGCCAAGCTGGTAACAGTCATGAAATATAAAAGCAAATTTCATTGCATTAGAGTGACTTTTATCAGACTGTGAAATAGTTCCTACACTAATAGACGCTAGTAAACTCTACACCCATTGTTTTCTTTTATTGGGATACAACTATTAGACACTAATTTAATAGTGTTTAAAAACACTGACGAGTAGTAATTGTTTCACAGACGGATGAATGACTCTAATTATTTACGCGTTTGTGAATCATTAAAAAAATATAATAGTTTACTATCAAATCCTTAATAATTCATTAGTTAAACACAATAGAAAATCATTGCCGTGACCGCATCTTTAAATAGTTGGTGTGGCGGTTTTGCCGGCTATCTTGGACAATTAGACAAAGTGTTGCAAAATGACAAGGATAGAGTGAGAAATCGATGTCAAATTATCCTCGTTGAATTAAAATTCGGAAAGAATTATCAATTGCAAACGCTAGATACTACAAAAAGGAGTTAACTAGCCAAATTTGAAGGACGCACTTGATCTAGGGAGCTAGTAAATWTATTTTTAGTTCTCAATACATTTCTTTGTATTTTGCACGCACGTCACGCGCTGATGACCCCAGAAATTACAAGAAATGTATGGGGAACTAAAGATAATTTACTTCTTCCCTATCTTTTTCCTCCGCCACCTAACATTGCTAACGATGCTATCGTACTTAGCAATAATCATAAGACGGAGATGGACACAGCATTTCACATGGTTATACTCTATTAAATTTTACCAAATAATGCTGCAAATGCTATAGATTTATTAATATGAATTTTGCAAAATTTAGTATTTAATATGAAATAGCGAATAAACATAACTTACAATGTCTCATGATCACAAAAATATACTCCTCTGTTTCTAGAAACCTATATAACAAACCGACCGACTTTAAAAATCTTTTTTCTTAGTGGTTATGTACACAAGTGTCACAACTAGAAGGCACATTTTGCCCACTGAAGTATGTTTAATATTTCACATATCTACATTGACTATCAATACATTCCTCTACATGAATCAATTTATTTGGTTCCTATCACCTATGAATCACGAATCAAACAAATGTTACAACGAGAAGACACATTTTGCCCACTGAAGTATGTTTAATATTCCACATATCTACATTGACTATCAATACATTCCTCTACACGAATCAATTTATTTGGTTCCTATCGCCCATGAATCACGATTCACTCGTAGTTTTATGCCGAGTCCGAGCTCTTGTCTGTTCCTCCCTGGCCTTCACATGGTCTTTAGCCCAAACCTTGCCTTGTGAAGCGGTTGTCTCTGAAACGCTAGGTTTTGAAGAAAAAACTTCGTCATAAGAAGCAGCCTTRTCCATTTCAGAGTGACTTTCTAATTCTTCAGGAGAAGACAAAGCTCTTCCTCGTAGTGTGTTGTCTACCGCAAACACGGCTTGATTTCCAAAATCAAAAGGATTCACAGAAACTTTCTTTCGAGCCCAACCYTTTCGTCCATACTTGAACGAGTCTATATAACGTTGGGGCCGAACTTTCTTCTCCATTGCGCCAACTGCGATAACTTGCCGAGACTTGCCGATCTTTGCTCGGAGAATCGGCGGAGTATGCTCGCCGCGTTTCTCCCTCTCGATCCTTCGTCGGTCTTTTGCTAAGTCCATAGCAACTGTTAAGTGATAGATACAATCCTTTACTTTGAATAATTTATCATAGTCAGATTTTACGGTTTATTTATTGCGCGGCTTCTGCTTCCATTTTGTCCAATTATGCATTTTCAAAAATAACAATACTTGAGCGCAATTTACAGCACATTCAAATCAAAACACACATTTTGCATTCTTTATGAGCTATTACCCCAGTCATTTGCAAAAACGTAAATATCTAATAGAGGTAATGTCTAAGAACAGAACTCAAGATTTTWGCCGTATCATTACAGTACATAAGTATGCACTTGCGTACACCAATYAACTTMTCCAAAATCATACAGATTTGTGCTTGTAATTATACCTTCAGTAATGCGATAAGGCTGCGTCATCCTCACTTCAATCCAACAAGGTGTGTCCACATCCTCGACTGCATCCTTTACGAATGAGAAATACACCRAAGTGCTTGACAATAGGTCCTCACACTTCCCTGGRTCGTACCTTGTTGGATCGCACTCGTGTTGAAGATTATTAGAAAACGCTTCGTAGTCAAATACCTAGAACAACATTCACTTTTTGAAATCAGTGTCACCCATGCTATAATAACYATTTTAAAACCATGTTAGATGTCGAAAAATCTCCCTAGTTCAATATAACGTCACATTAAAACATTCTATTGTTTWA